TTTCTGTTGTTTCAAGAAAATTCTTCGTCTGTGAGGACATTGCCCATCATTCACTGCCTGTGATGACCGATATTCCATGACAGTTCATTCATTTCTTTATTTGAACAAAATGTTTTTGTTCCTTGATAATTAAACCTTAGCTATTGGAAGACAGCTTTCACTATAGTAATGCGGCTTCGAATTTTTGTGTCCCGTCGTCTGTTAAAATACTACTTAGATATGATTCAAGTTATAACGGGCACGGCGGTTCCAGATTTGAACGGCATTGTTAAAGATATCTACGGTGAATTCTTAAAGAAATAAAAAAACGCGATCGATTGTGTTTCGATCTTGACTGTGAATAAGTCTTTACAAAATTCTAGTTGATACAGAAAATCAATAAAGTATTTTCTTTTTTTAAAACATTATCTACCCTATTTCTTTTCGTATATTTTTCTATAGCTTACATTTTTGAATTTTTTCTAAAAAATCTTTTTTTCTTTTTTAAATCTTTCTGTCATCCATTTTGATTTTTTTTTCGTAACCCGATATTTTCCCGTTAAATTCATTCATCAGTTTGATTTATGTCTTTCATTCACTCTTTGATATTTTATATTTCTATTTTTTTGGCCTTTTTTTAATTATCGATCCTCAAAGCTTCCTTATTTGTTTACTTTATTTTTTTTTTTTTACTATCGTCATTCATTTTTTTTAATTTTATTCTTGATTTACTTTGCATTTCTTCTTTCATGTTTTTTTATATTCATTCATAGGAGCCATTTTCAAATTTAATACTTTACCTTTTATTCTTATTCCTTAGTCGTTCTTTATATATCTCAAGGTTTTTTTCATATTCCTTCATTTACTTTTTATATTTCATTCAATTAATAATAACTTTCTTTCATTCGTCCATTCTTTACATTATCTTTCTTAATTTGTTCGTTTTTTCATTCTTTTTCTTTTATTTGTTTTTTGTTTTTCTTTCATTAACTCATGTTTTTCCTTCTACTGTTCTTTTGTTTTCTATCTTATTCTTCCTTTCTTCATTCTAAGTGTCATTCGTTCGTATGTTTTTCCTCTATTGCTTTCTTTCATTCTTTCTTTCATTTTTTTTTCGTTCCATGTTTTCTGTCTTATTATCCCTCTTTCATTAGTTCCTTTTCTCTTTCTTTCTTGCTCTATTTTTTCTTCGGTGTCCAAACTAATTTTCCTTTTTTCATTCATTCTTTTTTATTCACCGTTCATTAGATTTCAAACTCATTCGCATGTTGTTGTTTTTATTTTTTTATTTTTACTGTTATACGCTAATCTTTTATTGATACGCTCTTTATTCCATACCTGTTCTTTTTTATACATTCTTTCATTCTGTTTTTTTTTTTATTTCTTCTTTCCTTTTTTCATTCCTTCTGTCATTCTGTTATTCAATCTTTCTTATTATTTTGGTTTTTCATCAAATATTTTGTTACGATTTTTTATCTTTTTATCTTATAATATATATATATATAATATATATATATATATATATATATATATATATATATATATATATATATATATATATTTGTTATATAGATATGATATTTGTGACCCTTAGTTTCACGCTTTAGCGATCGTCAGACAAACTGATTAATGTTTTAAAAATTTGGGTTTATGTAGATTGCGTGTATTGGTGTTATTGTGGAAGTGGTGGGGAAATTTTCGTCGTTTTGTCATTCATCGTACTAAGCCCCCTATTTTTTTTTTCAAAATTTAAAATAAATATAAATAATAATAATCTTTACCTATCATAATTTTTACAATAAACCCCCCACACGCATATACATACATGCGAGGAAATATTTTCCAGCTGGAAAATACATATGACATGTACACATCAACGAGACATTTCCGTCACACTTCCAATGTTTAAATTTCAACATACAAATGCGTATGTATAGATATAACACCACCCGTATACATACATGTGTCATATCCGAAACTTCCCACATATGTTTATATATGTATGAGTCCCGACGGACGACCAAGTGTGTATATGTGTCTGCATACATCGATGTTTGAGTTAGTACGATGCCTGGAATTTCTGGAAAATCTCCAACCAAATTCTGAATAGATGCAAAGCGTCAGTATCTACTATTTTAATTGGACCGAAATAATCTCGTCGTCGTCGGATAAAGCGAAGCTCTTCATCTCGATTTTTGCACCTAACCCAACATTAAATGAAGAAAGTCATCCATCTCTCGACTTCTTCCGTCTCACTGAACAGAACCATAGAATACCAAGACATATCAAACTTTTAATTCTAAGAAGAGTCTACTGGATCAAATAAAATCCCATTGGTTGTCCTTAAGAATGTTAACCCAGTGTTATACCCAACCTTAAAGAAAATATTTAACCACTTCTTCAAGGAGAAATCCTTCTGAAAACTGAGAAAGGTGTAAAGTGTATACTTTGCTTTCAATAAAACGGTTGCGGCTCATCTCCATCGCAGTATAGACCCATCAGCATCGTCAATGGCATTAGCAAACTTTTTTTTAACTATAATCAATAAGATAATTATTGACCTCACCTCTTAAACGACAAACAGTAATTCTTTCGAACGTCTTCGTCCACTGCTGATATGCTAACTGCCTATTGTCACAGAATGAGTGAGGCGCTAGAGAACAAATACACCTAAATGACGATCATATTAGATATTTCAAAGCCAGTTTCTTACGGTTGATATTTTATTCGTCTTCATCTTTTTTTTTTTTCAGGTAGTGTAATATATAGCGGCTCTGAATGAAAAATCGGAGAACCGCGTTCGAATTCCAGTCGAGTTCGTTGAATTCACTTAGGCGCAAAGACTCTTGCAAAATGTATAAATCCATCCCATTCTTTGATATGCTGTTTCCTGAGTCTGAAATATTCTTGATTTATTTATTATTTTCACATTTTTTTCTTTCTTCTATTTCTAAATTCGTCTCTTTTTTTGTTTCTCCTTCTTTCTATTTTTTACTTTCAGTTTATGAATTAAAAACTTATTCCTTATCGTAAATGAATAACATTTGAATTAACTGGTGTATTCTTTCAAGGCTGTCTAAACTTTTTTTTTTTTTCAAAGAGGGCCAAATATGATATGGTGAATATGCGTGAAGGACAATCATTTTACATAGCATTCATTGAACTATTAAAATTAAATGCAAATCGACTATCCCATGAAAAATTTATTGAAATGGCATATTTTTCTTTATTCACATGGATGGCAAATTAATTTAAACAGGTCTTACCAAAATCTCTCAGCCTGTCATATCTGAAGCCAATATAAGATGAAGCAAAAAGAACTTACTGGAAGCTATAATATATCTTAAGTTAATTTTTAAAATTACTTATCGGTAAGTAATGTTGTCTGTCAACCTTTAAGATAAAAAACATATGAATAGAAAGAGTACATAATAAGGAGTAGAAAACTGTAGCTTAAATAAGTCTTTATTGCTGCAACGTCACTTGTACAAATCACAATATCGCTGGTCTCAATTTACCGTCCTCGCTTTCTTCACACGTCACCACGTATAGCCAATGGTTCTGTCCACTTTTTCACGGCTCCAGAACTCTTTTATCAGGCCAACACCGCGGTTCCCCAGCCACTCAGCGTTCTTCGCTGTTATGCTCGGTTACACAGACAAATTGCCTCCTCCAGTTCGACCAATCAGCACACGACTTGCTATTGGTGAAAGCATGCCAAACTGTACAAAAAAAAACTACATCACTGCACATACTGCTAGAATGGCTGTACGGGAGAGTAATGCTATTTTCACGAATCAAACTTGCTGATGCCACGTGTCGCACGTTAAGGTAAGACCCTTATTTTCCTATACACCAGATGCAAGCCACTCTGGCTCGCTTGCCTCTACGGGGCTGTTCACCACAAAACATACAGTAACACAAGTTCAAGTGTCCAAATATATTTCTAACTAATTTTGACCAACATAAAATAAATTTAATTCACTATGATTTTATAATTTATTCATCTCAAATGACCAAAACAAATAACTTGCCTTCACTAATCTGACGGGTGATACTGAGATCAGGACTGCAGACCATGTCTGGTTCAAAGGCAGAGATTTTAGAAATTGGCTGGTTAAGTCAGAGGGCGGCCACACAGATTTGGTGAAACATGAAATTGCATTTCTTTGATCTATACATTACACATTCGTATTGAAAATACGTAATTGACCCCCGGGCCGGACTTAGGATATGTCTGATTCAAATGATACATAATTAAAAAAGATATGTTATCTTACAGCAATATTCTACGTTTTGATTTTTCCATAAAATGAAAATCCTTATCTTGAAACAGACCATTTCTTAACAATGGAATAAGAAATGAATGAGCATGTTTTTCCATACTGTGTACGTACCATAACAGGTTTTAGCTGTAAATTGTCTTACCTAGAGGAAATGAGTATTGTAGCAAGTCCAAACATTTTCCATGGAAGTAGTTAAGCAATAACTAGAGGCTACCATTATCTCATCCGGCGGAAACGAGTTGTAGAGTGGAAAACAGTTTATCACCCACAAGGTTACGTAGGCACCTTTGAACTCTGCCACGGCAGGAATGATGTGATTGAACAACTCCAGCGCAGTTATGGCAACGATGCGCCATTTTTTCGTCTGATCTGACTCTGGAAAACTAGAAGGAATCAATTATTTTTCCAGCCTCTTGGGCAGTGGAGCGTCTAATAGAATCTATGATGCCATAAGGCTATTAGTGCTATGTGATATATATTAATATGCTGTTAGAGTATTGATGATCCAGCATTTTTTTGAAGTAGTATATAAGTAGATTTATGCGCGAGGGTAGGCTGAAAAATTATAGGCATTACCAAGAAAAACATTTGAAAAAAAATTTGGTATGGGTTAGATTTTAGGAAATGGATCGAGCTAAAATTTCAACACCCATTTCTATAAGGTAATTTGCTTTTCATTTCCTTCTCAATGTTTCTTTCTTTCTTTTTTTTTCTTTCTTTCTCCCAAATTTGCTTATGGATATTTACAATGTTTTCACTTCTTTAGTTCGTTTTATTTTCCTCTTTCTTTCTTTATTTATTTATTTATTTATTTCTCCCATATTTTCTTATGCATATTTGCATTTTCTTTCTTTCTTTTCTTTCTTTCTTTCTTTCTTTCTTTCTTTCTTTCTTTCTTTCTTTATTTATTTATTTATTTATTTATTTATTTCTCCCATATTTGCTTATGCATATTTGCATTTTCTTTCTTTCTTTTCTTTCTTTTCTTTCTTTCTTTTTTTTTTCTTAAACTTCTTTTTTTCTTTTCTTTCTTTTATTTATTTATTTGTTTTATTTATTTCTCCCCATATTTGCTTATGCATATTTGCATTTTTTTCTTTCTTTCTTTCTTTTCTTTATTTATTTATTTATTTATTTATCTATTTATTTCTCCCATATTTGCTTATGCATATTTGCATTTTCTTTCTTTCTTTCTTTCTTTATTTATTTATTTATTTATTTCTCCCATATTTGCTTATGCATATTTGCATTTTCTTTCTTTCTTTTTTTCTTTATTTATTTATTTATTTATTTATTCATCTATTTATTTCTCCCATATTTTTTTTTGCATATTTGCATTTTCTTTCTTTCTTTCTTTCTTTCTTTATTTATTTATTTATTTCTCCCATATTTGCTTATGCATATTTGCATTTTCTTTCTTTCTTTCTTTCTTTATTTATTTATTTATTTATTTATTTCTCCCATATTTGCTTATGCATATTTGCATTTTCTTTCTTTCTTTCTTTATTTATTTATTTATTTATTTATTTCTCCCATATTTGCTTATGCATATTTGCATTTTCTTTCTTTCTTCCTTTCTTTCTTTCTTTCTTTCTTTCTTTCTTTCTCCCAAATTTCCTTATGAATATTTGCAATGTTTTCACTTCTTTAGTTCGTTTTATTTTCCTCTTTCCTTCTTTCTTTTTTCTTTCTTTTTTCTTTCTTTCTTTTTTCTTTCTTTCTCCAATATTTCCTTATGCATATGTGCATTGTTTTTACATCTTTCTTTCTTATTTACTTATGCATATTTACACTGTTTTCACTCCTTCTTTCGATCGTCTTATTTCTTTCTTTCTTTCTTCCTTCATTTCTTTCTTTCTTTCTTTCAAATTTGCTTATGAATATTTGCATTGTTTTCACTCCTTTCGTTCGTTTTATTTGTCTCTGTATTTCTTTTTTCTTTCTTCTTTTCTTTTTTTCATTCTTATTTATTTTTTTTATTTATCATTGGTTTATTTCTCCTGAACTTGTCCAATTTATTTAACAATATTTTTTTCTTTTTAAATTTCCTTTTTTTTATTATTTATTTCCCTTTTTTTTCTTTTCTTTCGCCTAATCGATGTACATGTCTCACTTTTTCATTCTCTCAATTCTTTTTTTTCTTTCACGCTGCACATATCTTATTCTCTCTTTCCCTTTTTTAAATTCTTTCCGTCCTTTTTCCTTAACTTCATTCATCCATTCTATTTATTCTTTCTTTTTGTTTTAATTCTCTGTCCATGTGTTGCTTTTCCTGTTATTTCATCCGAAGGAATTTCTTTCTTCGTGTATTATTTCTATTTGTCTTTTCACACTCATTCCTTTTTCATCTTCATTTTTCTTTTAATATCTTGTCATTCACATCTGAGAAAAACGCGATATTGTCTACAAAGAATGTATAACTGCGTTTCAAATACTAACCATTTCCTATCGGTCATAACTCTCATCATCTATTAAGAAACGTTGTATTAATAGCTTACAAGATTTCCCTGTGAAAAAAATTTCAGAATAAAAATGAAGATTCGATAAACGTATTTTCTTTCTCCTATGTCAGCATGTGTTTTTCAAAATTATGTTTTTTTTTTGTGATTTTTTTAATTTTATATATACTTTTTATAAAGATTTCATTTTATTAATGTCACGGAATTTTCTATCACATTGAATTTCGACATAAACCTCAAATGTTTCGAGTGGGTGAGTGAGTCGGTGGGTGAGACTTGTAAATGGAAATGAAGACACTGATGAATCTCATCAAGCATCGGGCAATGCATTGTCAACGAACTTCGCCAGAGAAATCAGGTTTTATCGGGAACAATGATTGCATCCGCTCGATAGCTGTCAACAAATGTTGTGGATTTCTCCTTGAAATACAGTATCTTCGCTTGTCTGCATGTCTGACTGTCTAACGGTCTGCCGATCTATCTATCTATCTATCTATCTATCTATCTATCTATCTATCTATCTATCTCTGTTCATGTATATACATATATATATATATATATATATATCTGTTTATCTTTCGAGCTCAATCTGTTCATATCTATCTATCTATCTATCTATCTATATATATATATATATATATATATATATATATATTCATTTATATCCAGGTCTCTCTCTCTCTCTCTCTCTCTCACACACACACACACACACACACACACTCTCTCTCTCGATATCATTCTCTGTCAGTTCCTATCTTTGCTATCTATCTACTTAACTATCCATCTATCTCGGTCTGTTCATATATATATATATATATATATATATATATATATATATATATATCTGTTTATCTGTCGAGCACACTCTGTTAATATCTATCTTTGTATCTAATTTTTGTTCATGTATATATATATATATATATATGCACACACACACACACACACACACACTTCATATATATATATATATATATATATATATATATATATATATATATATATATATATATATATATATATATATATATATATATATATAATAAAACAAACAATAAGATATATAATCCGTAGTTGTTGTTGATAGTCTATTTTTTACAAAAGAGTGTTCAATGTAAATTTACAGAGCATAAATATTATACATTAACTGATTTAAAATATGGTTTCTTCGCCACACAGGAATTACCATGTTTCAAATAAAAAGCTAAAAACTTCAAATTTAATTATATAATTAAATTAAAAGCATTAGTTCTGTTTCATCTTCAAGCGAATTGTGGAATAACTTAGTTTTAAATTTACTGAGTTTTAAACGCACATATAAATTATATATATATATATATATATATATATATATATATATATATATATGTCATATGTATATATCATATATAGATATATATATATACAACATATATGTGTATGTCCTATGTATATATGTCATTTCAGCCTATCCATACCTATCCATCGCTCTTTTCTCATGCTGCTCATATCTATCGCTACCAATCGATCATAAATATTGATTGATCTAACTAGTTTACCACTATATATATATATATATATATATATATATATATATATATATATATATATATATATATGTTTCTATCTCAAAAATAAAATGTCGCTATCTCCGTCGGTTTATATCTATCTATATTTATTTATTTCTACATCAATCTATTGCGTTAGCGGACGTATACATATAAGAGTGATCTTTGTATATGTCTATTTATTCGTCTTTGCACTTTCGTATCCATCAGTCTTTCTATATCTCAGCTATATTCTACACTATGCTTCATCAAATACAAGGCATAAGAGCCTCTTAAGAGTGAGCTTTTCTGAAAGTGTTTGTTTTATGAATGAAGTTCAAAATTTTGGGGATATATACCTGTTGACTTGGCTGGAAAATGTTCCAATGTGACTTCTTCCTTTCAAATGGAAGACAAAGAGAAAGTGGATGATTATATAGTGTGCACAAAGCAGATTATAAAAGCAGGGATTAAGAAATACAGCACCTTAGAAAATTCCATATGCAGCTAGTAGTGATAGTTTTGCGACGTTTTGGCTGTGTGGAAATGGGTTGTAGGGTAGGAAATAATTAATCAGACACAAGGCTGGGGAGACGCTTCAAAGCTAGAAAGAGAACATTGGTCAGCAATACTCGATTTTGGTTCTGACCTGACTATTTTAATGTTATCTATCTATCTATCTATCTATATCTATCTATCTATCTATCTATCTATCTCTCATCTCATATCTCATTCTGTTCATATCTCATTCTGTTCATATCTCATCTCTGTTCATATTCATTCTATCTATCTATCTATCTATATCTATCTATCTATCTATCTATCTATCTATCTCAGCCTGTTCATATCTCATTCTGTTCATATCTATCTATCTATCTATCTATCTATCTATCTCAGCCTTTTCATATCTCATTCTGTTCATATCTCATTCTGTTCATATCTATCTATCTATCTATCTATCTATCTATCTATCTATCTATCTATCTATCTCAGCCTTTTCATAGCTCATTCTGTTCATATCTCATTCTGTTCATATCTATCTATCTATCATCTATCTATCTATCTATCTATCTATCTATCTATCTATCTCAGCCTTTTCATAGCTCATTCTGTTCATATCTCATTCTGTTCATATCTATCTATCTATCTATCTATCTATCTATCTATCTATCTCAGCCTTTTCATAGCTCATTCTGTTCATATCTCATTCTGTTCATATCTATCTATCTATCTATCTATCTATCTATCTATCTATCTATCTATCTCAGCCTTTTCATAGCTCATTCTGTTCATATCTCATTCTGTTCATATCTATCTATCTATCTATCTATCTATCTCAGCCTTTTCATAGCTCATTCTGTTCATATCTCATTCTGTTCCTATCTATCTATCTATCTATCTATCTATCTATCTATCTGTCTGTCTGTCTATCTATCTATCTCTCTAAACAATTTTTTTTCACGTTTATCTTTCGGAGTTTGTTTATAGCTCTCTAAGTTTCTTCATATCTATCTGTCTGTCTGTCTATTTATATCTATACGCCAGACAATTTGATCAATGGATCTGTTTCTTTATGTGTCAGTCTGTCTCACTCTCTATCTCTCTCACTCTCTCTATATATGTGTAAGACCTTTTATTTCTATCTATCTATCTATCTATCTATCTATCTATCTATCTATCTTTCTTTCTTTCTTTCGAAATTTGTTTATTTGTCACTTTCTTTCGACGTACGCCAATCTATTCATTTCAGCTAGTGAGTAAGAAAATGATTTCAGTTTTTTATTCTATTCTCAATATCTATCTATCTATATATCTCAATGTCTTCTTTCTCTCTCTCTCTGTCCCTATCTCTGTCTCTCTAGCTCTCTCAGTCAGATCATATTTATCTGTTATATATCAATTTGTTTGTTTCTGTCTGTCTATCTATCTATCTATCAATCGATCAATCGATCGATCGATCGATCAGTCTAACGATTGTGTTTATGCATGAAACAGATTGTCGCCGGTACGTTTTGACCACAATATCTACTGTTATATTTACATACACTCTATCCCTGACATTGAGCACTTTAACATATGAATATAGCACAAAATAAAAGAATATTTTTTATCATATATATATATATATATATAAATAAATATATATATATATATATATATAGTTTATGCAAAACTAGGTAATTCGTATGGTTAGACCCAAGGAGGATGATATCTAGAGAGAGCTCAATGTAAGCTCAGGGCAAATATGTTTGAATAAAAAGAGATCACTTTAACGTTCCATGTAATAAGTTATTTCACCACAACCCTTTCACAGGGCTCTAGATCATCAGACTTAATTTCCAAAAGTTGAAAATGAATATATATATATATATATATATATATATATATATATATATATATATATATGATCATAACTTTCGGATAATAAGTGCGACATTACTGTAATTATTGAACAATATAGTTCATGCCACTTTGACAGAAAATTTACCAGTAAAAAAGAATTCGCTTATCACCATATTTGTACAAGAACGCACAATTGTAAAATTTAAAACCAAACTCAGCGTTGCTACTGCACGCTCCAAAAACAATAACTCATTTCTAATAGCATTTTTCGGATACAACAATACATATATTTTCGTTGTCTTATTATTACCGAGAGTAAAAACAAGAACAACATCTATTCCGTACCTGAAGATGTCTGTAGAAACAGACGAAAGCTTGTAGTAAAAATAAGAACTAATGCAACAGAAATTTATAAAAACAAGGATCTTTTCATTCATAACAGGTTCGGGGTTTTTGTATATTATTTGAATTATTCGCGACGATGGATTTCTTGCCAATTAAATCATTAACCTTTGTATTTGTTTTTGTATGAATAATTCATGAATTTGTAAATTGATTGCACTTTTATTGAAATATATATATATATATATATATATATATATATATGTATATATATATATATATATATGCACACACTAGTGTTCAGAATTATCATGGGATAAAGTTGTAGAACAGCTCTTAGAATATGTTGAAAAACCAATGCAATCAATTGTGCAACATAGTTCGAGAAAATTTGGCAATTAACGCCAAAGATTTGTGTTGTAATATAGGAGGATATTTTGACGAGACCGAAATTTTATCATAAAACACCTTTTTTTATTTTGTAAAATTTCTAATAAAAAAATTATGTCTCACATTTTTTAACAATGTATAATAGTTTTCTCTTATTTAAAGTAGGAAACAATTACTTTTTTGAGCCAAGGTAAAATTTACCATGGGAAGGGATAAATCTTCCGGTAGGAACGCCAAGAAGAACAGCATGACGTTTCTAAAATTCTAGCGCTGTCGTGGTGTTGCGTCACTGTGCTCTTTTTTCTCACAGACGGTGCCCAACTGACCCTAATATACTGGGCAACTGACAAAATAAAAAAAAAAAACAAAGCGCATGCGTGAAATTACAGCTATAAAATGGCGGCAATATATATAGTTCAAAAAGACAAAATTAAGTTTTTTTAATAATATGTGGAAATCTCCACCTTTTTACCTGATGACGGCCGCGAAACCAGAAACACGTGTAGGGAAATTAGGGACAAAAATAAAAAAGCATAATATTTTTTTTTTTAAATCCACATTACGACGAAAAACGTTTGCGGTATATCTCTTCTTTTTAATATACACACTTTTCTATTGTTGTAACCACTATAAACGCTTTTTTTTTTTATATATATATATATATATATATATATATATATATATATATATATAATATGTATGTATATATTGGGTAACTGGTCACATGTGAGAACTACGGCATTGGTGACCCGGTCTGACCAATAAATGGGCAGAATGTGTCTCAGACAGTTAAGATGAAAGGCGCAGTTGTCTCAGTTCTCTGTTGAGCAGCACGCTGATGACGCATGCCCTACTTGTTAGTAGCATGCGTACTTTTCTCTCAGTATGTGACTTTTTCGAGATAAATATAGAATCAAAAGGCTGCTATATAACAAGTTGAACTTATTTCGAAGTGAACTGGCGGGATATTATCGAAGAGACTTTCAGCCATAAATGCTGATTCAAGCATTTATAAGTGAACTTATTGATTTCATACTGTATGATTATTTCGGATCAAGTAATTGCCCTTACAATAAAATGGCGTGTACCAATAAATACATGATTGTTAAGGGCCTAGAGGAGAATAGAAAGACTCATAAATTCACACGCCATAAAACACGTCGAAGTAAACGAAAGAATGTAATATAAAATCCAACACTGATATGTGTGTGTGTAATATTCATATTTGTGTAATTTTGCATTTTATTGTGTACTATATATATATATATATATATATATATTATGAATCTCACACATACACACACATATATGTGTGTGTGTATGTAATATTCATATAATATATATATATATATATATATATATATATATATATATAGCCAATGCGATGAGAAGGAAAGTAATATATAAATTACAACGTTCACAATATTAATCCAAAAGAGGGTTCGATACTTATAGTAGAGCGATAATAATTTATTTATTATAATTTTATCATATAGACAAAACCATTTTACTCACTACAAAGATGCAACTTCGTTTCACTGCCTTTCAACTGACGTTTCACATACGACTTGCCTACAAGCAGGATTGTTCATAACAATTTTCTATTCTCACCCGTCGAAGTGCAATTGAAATGCACTAAAACGAAGTTGCATCTTTGTAGTGAATAAAATGGTTTGTCTATATGATAAAAATATATATATATATATATATATATATATATATATATATAGTACACGATAAAATGCAAAATTATCTCATATGAGGTGGGGAATAAGCTTATTTCAACCGACGACCTCTTTTTCTGTCTTCTTCAACGCCGGTATAGACTCAGTCTATACCAGGGTTGAAGAAGATCGACAAAATTTTCGTTGGTTGAAATCAGCTTATTCTACACCCCTTATGAGATAATTTAGGTTTTTTTTATGTACTAATTATTTGCTCTGTAATAATAAATACATTGAGCTCTTTTTTGTGGATTACTTTTAATATTTTATATTACTAGTATCCACTTAGATTATATACCAACGGATTTATTACTTTTACCTTATATATATATATAATAAAAAGACTTAAACACTAATATTCCATGGTCATAATTTATTCCATTGGAATCGTAAATACGACCCAATTCATCAGACCTACAAATTTAAAAAGAAAACAGAAAAAAAAGCAACTCCGGAAATCAAAAATAAAATTTAGAGAGAGTGTAATTATGAGAGTGTGGGACGAATGTTAGAGCTATAGAGAGGGGTAACAGACGAGAGAAGGTGGGGGATTAAAATTTAACAGAGAGAAGTTTTAAAGAGGGGAGTCAAAGACGGTTTAAGTGAGAGAAATATGAATGTTGTCGGATGTCTAATACATTAAAGATGTAATCGGAAAGGATATTCGCGGCCCAAAGCAAAACACCGTTGGTGAGTCTTCTGCGTTTCTCTGTTTATTTCTCGCACCGCTTGATGAAGGACACAGGCGTGCCCGAAAATTCCGGACTAATAACAATAATCTCCGTGCTTCATTTCTCTCTTGTGATGAGCAATGAATATATAATAAATTCTTTTCGCACTGATCACATCGGTACCTTTTCATTATTCCCTTGTTTAATTAACCAATCTATCTTAAATGCTAAAAGAAGGACACGTGGACTCTTTTTCTAAACATCTATTTTGGACCTTACGTAGACAACACTAAACTCCACGCTAGAAGATAATATGAAAATAACTTAAAGAAACTTTCGAAAACAAGATCGGGCATAGCCTTCCTCACCACTTGCAAAAAATTGTATTTTTATCCGTAATGGACTAAGATTAAAAAAAAAGAAAAAAAACAATTTACAATTCTCCACAAACACGTGACTTAGATCCAAGTCTCAACGTATCTATAACTCCGGATCTTCCCCCCAAAAAAGCAGGGATCGGATTTATACTAATAATTTTCTGTCTTGCGATTAACAAATATAATAAATTCTTTTCGCACTGATCACACTTTTTGTTATTCCCTTTTCGTTATTCCTATTATTTTTATATATATAATATATATATATATATATATATATATATATATATATATATATATTGACTGGTCATGTTTTGAGAATGTCTGATGACAGGATACCCAAGATCCTAATGTACAGCCAATTAGATCAGGGCTACAGGAATGTAGGACGGCCATGGCTAAGATATAAAGACAAACTGAAAAGCAACTTGTCAGTAGTCAATATACCACATAACACCCTTGAGCGCTTAGCCTTGGAGCAAGTAGAATGAAGATCAACGTGTTTTTAGTAGACTCAGCAGTTTTCAATCTGCTTGTCTGAATCATCTTCAAGAAACGAGGGCAAGATCTAAAAGGTTAGCCAATCTAACAGTAATCTCATCCCACAATCCTCACTCTTGTTCCATATGCGGCCTTCTTTGTAAATCACTACTGAGTTTTAAGTTCCACTTAAGATTATCGCACAAAATTTCATAACTGAATCAAATAAGCTGTCAGATCCTCAAACGTCGAAATTGATGGGAGAGCCCATTATTATTAGTATTATTATTAGTATATATATATATATATATATATATATATATATATATATATATATATATAAGATATGACACATTAACTACTAGTGTTAAAAAAATAGTACTCGATGTACTGTAATACAGTTATTAATATATATTAATAAATATACATATTATTCCACACTGGTGGCACGACTTGGAGTTTCATGCACAACGCAATCTTCAGGTGCTAAGAAAAGACTGACAGTTACATAATTTAGATATCTGG